CCTCATGAAGTCATTCCCCTTCCTCCCGCGGCCTGGAAAAGTCATGGAAATTTGTTTTCGGTTTTCAGGCCTGAAAAAATCATGGACTTTTGTAAAAAATGACTAACGTCGTGGAAAAGTTATGGAATTTAATTGTCCTTTAGGTGCAGGAACCCTACATTATATGTATCTACTTCCAAATCGGTCGGTGGTTCCTTTCCCCCCAAAAAAGTCCTGTTCTATTTTGGGAAGACAAAGTTTTTTTTTGTAATAAAAGAGCTGCATGCGTGCAAACTCACATGATAATATTTTGATCATGTTTGTTCAAGCACATGTTGTTCCCTGTATAAATCACGCAAATGAAGTACATCGCAATATACATGTACATATGTACATGTACACATAAATGTACATACATGTACACATGTGTACATGTACACATGTACACTGTACATGTAGTTTTCATACATAAATGCACTTGTACATGTACAGAATGTTCTTTATTCTGTGCAATGCTGTCCACAGGCGCGTGGGTGCGTGAAGGGTAAAGATTGGCCAAACTGTCCCGGCTGCAAGATTTTCTCAACAGTTGTAGCCGAATTCACTCACATGGCACCACCACAGAGGTTTTTTTTTTTTTTAAATTCCACTCGTTGTCAGAGCGCAAAGTCTGCCCCGGGGCCGTTGGTCTCAGCCGGGGCCCGGCAGTTACCTCGGTCCACTGCCCAACTACGATTTGCTTCAAATTGGATGTAGCCCCGATCAGATTGTCCGTGCTTGCATTGCAAATATACTCGCTCGTCAACAGGGGAGGCCCCAAGATGATAAAGTGAAAAAAAAAAAGTGAGAGGAAGCAGTGCGATCGCTGTGGCCGTATGTTTATTCATAAAAAGCAAGACCTTATTTACATGCGCGGCTTGTCTAAGCTGCGATATCCAAAGATAGACAAGTTAGTGTACATGTATTCAGTCAGATTGTGAGGGCCGCACACCTGCTGAACTAGAAAATTCCCAGATCAAATTGAAATGGAAATAAACATACTGAATCATAGCAAAATAGTTTTGAAAGGATGAAGATATTTTCCATCAAGGAGCTGGTAGATTGCCAAGGATAAAAGTTTTGTATCAGAATACTGCTATGCAAGCAAACAAAGGAAGTGTGAGTAGTGTTCATGTGCAGTGCCCAGCGACAGATCAGTCAAGAGTGAGTGTACGTGCGTTTCTCATTGACGTGCTTAATCGTGGGCTGACATACAGTGTACATGTGTATGAACTGTACATGTTTGGCCTTGAACTTCATATGACTGTAACAACAAAGCCACAAGTTGGATTGATTGAAAAGTCGTTTGCACTGGTAATTAGTGTCTCTACATACGTGTGTGCAGAGCCTTTACGAAAATTGGGCACAGAACATTCAAGTCTGGGGGGGTATCTACATTAACACTCCCCCGCATGCCCCGTGACATAGGCCGAAAAATCCCCAGCTTTTAGGGTGAACGTCCTTGTGGAATTGAATGTGATCCCAGTGTTTTCGTCCCATCATTGCTGTAGGATTTGGTTTCTTCAGGATTGAGTGAAATTCAGGAATTGCATGTAGATGAATGTACCGGTAGACAGATTGGATTTATGGGAGAGGAGACTCAATCTGAAATGGCATTTTGAAAACTTACCAGTGCCTTGCATGCAGTTTTAGTCGGAGTTGTAATGACTTGACTTGAGTTCAACTCGAGTCACAGTTTTTGGCTACTCGACTTGAGTCCGGACAGGCATGGCGGGTAAGTGACTCGATTTGAGTCACTTCCGAGCAAATGACTCGACTCGAGTCCCTCATCAGATTGAAGACCTGACTACAGTGGAAGTTAACAAGATTTGAGTCCAAAACACAAAACATCTTTGAAAAAAAAAAGAGACATGTTTACATGTATTTGCAGTGCCAGTTTATAATGTTCATGTCATGTGTTATGACCATCAAGAGTAAAGATGCGATGTGAAATCCAGAGGTAAATTTTAAAAATGTTGAAAATGATTTTCTCCCTTGTTTTTATTTCTAATTTTGTTTTCCGTATTGATGACTCGAATTGACTTGAGCTAAATCTTTGACTTGACTCCACTCCTCGTTTTTGCCTAATGACTCAACTCGACTTGAGTCACACAAAAAACTTGTCACACAGGGGGGTAAGAATTCAGCCCTTTTTTTGTTTAGATGTTGACCCTGAATTTCAACTTTTTTGTACGCCAGGTCTGCACAGAAGTATAGAAACCTTTTACATTTCACCTTTTTGCTAGCTGTTTTCAGCTGTAATTTTGAGTGGCCACTCACACCCCTGGTTACAGCTCTGGACTTAGTCAACTCCATGTCCCCCATAAAATTACCATAAATGCAAATCATGCACATGCTGAACTAACACAAGCACCGTCCACGCATAATACCAATGTACATAGCACAACACATGAAGATGTTCTGAATAAAGAACGAAATATTGAATCTAACATGGCTTTCATTAGTCTTTATGGAGTCTGCATAATACTGAGTTACATGATTTATGTTCAAGTGTTTGGGTAGTGCGGCATTAAATGCACGTGGCACAGTAAACGCGGGTACATCCTGAATAAATTATCTCCGGATCTCATCCGTGGCTGAATTTTTTATTTCTCCAGCGAATACCGCTATCTAAATGTAGTTTAGCACTCACATGTAAGGACGCGAGGCACAGGACCCCGGCGTTGGTGTTCCCTTACACCCCCCACCCCTGGGGAAAGCCCCGGTAGAGACAATTTTTAAGATTGAAGTTTAATGGAAGGGATGTCCAGGTAAACCCATGTGGTGTTCGGGGAGAAGAAATAAAAGTTGAAAAAAAAAAGCCAAAACAAATATGTGCTGCCAGTATCGTTTTTGATTCAGGCCTGCACTGTACATACAATTACAAAGTGGCATGTTGCATGTTGCACTGCACATTACATACACCTCATGGGTAGGTATGCACATACATGTACATGTATGCCCTTTTTACATGGTACCGGTAGGTTTCTTTTCTGGATTTAGAATGTTGGCCTTTTTTACTTGACGGTGCGTGCCGTTCTTTCTCTGGGCACAGTCGCTGGGGACAAGGGGGAAGTTTTTGTTTGGAACATTTCACCGCACCTTCACACACAATCGACTGATTGGCCTGCCTGCGTTATGTACAGAATTTAACGTGATTATTTGTGAAACAGCACAGGATAGTTTTCTGTGCGTACGTGTACATTTGCTGAACACGAGCACTACCAGCAACTGTGCTCGGATCGTACATTAGCCTGATGAACTTGAAATTAAAAGGGGCTCTCTGAAATTGTCAAACAGTGCGACTTTGTGTACGTTGCAACGTAGGACAACAGATGTCTTGATTGGCAAAGGCTTCATATACATGTACACGTACGTGGGCACACTTCATAGACAAGCACTCGTACATGTTTTGTAATAACATGGTACATGTACCAGAACACATGTACATGTACATAAACTCACAAACTGTACAGTGTAGTACATGCACATGTAAAATGTACAGTATGTGTGGCAACACATGCAGTGAAATTGTACATACAGTACATGTACATGTACATGATGCCTGAGCACATCTACATGTACAACTGTACACGTGTTGCATACCAGTGTTGTAACTTGTATTCGAGTCCATCGCAAGACCTTTCACAAGTCCCTTCACAAGTCCAGTCACAAGTCCCTTCACAAGGCTACCGGTAGTTCATAAGTAACAGGGTGCACAGTGACAAAGGAATGCTTTTGTCACAGCTCATTTGAGTAGCTTGTGAATTGGCTGACTGAATGACCTGTGGTGGACTCACATTGACTTGCAGGGACTTGTGATGGGCTCGAATACATGTATAACACTGATGCATACAATGTACATGTGTCATGCGTGCACATGTACATGAACTGACCATGTTTAAGAGTTCACAAATTGCATGCAGACTGCAGAGTACATGATGTACATGCATCAATTTGTTTTCTGTGAAATGAACACGCAAATCTAAGTACAGTTTGTCAACTGTCAACAACGATATTATACATACATGAACATGTAGGCCTACAGTTCACTGTAAAGTTC